TACAAGGAGAGAGTTATTAATGGGGTGGGGAGAGGGGGAAGAAAAAGTATGTGAAGGAGAAAGAAGGGAGGCATCAGCAGTAGTCTGTTTTCGCTTACCCGCCCTGCTGTATGCAGCAAGTAAGGCGACCCGGCTGATGGCACCACGCGACGGCCGATGTGGCATGAGTTTATTTGTGTATGTGCAATTCATGGTTGTACGTGGGCTGGGATACTGCCATGGCGCCCACAACTAGACAGGAGGACGATTAGGGTTGTCAACCAAAGCCTTTGGCTCAAAAGCCTAACCCCAAGGCAGCGGTGTCTGGCGGGAAATGCAAATGGATTACCATTCCTACGAAACAAGTCGCCACATGTTGCAACCCCTAACCTGGAGGGCCAGGAGACTGTGTCCCTCAGACCTCTAACCATTGACCAACCTGGTGTGAGAGACTCTGTGAGTGTCGCGGGACACTCTCTAGTATAGCTCAATGGATCGCTGAGGTGCGCAAACCGTCACACCACGGTAAGGTCCAGTCTCTTCGGGAATGAGTACGGAGTGTGGTCCGATGCGTGAGGAACCGATGCCGAGAAAAAGCCCCCCAGCCGTGACGTCCTTTCGATGCCTAGTTGCTAGGCTACCCGAAGGAGACACGAGGGCTGAGATACCATTAGGTTGTCCACACCCAGACAGGAGCAGTCGAACTTATGTGATCGAGTTCGAACCACGGACTTACAAATTAGTAAGTTCGTGCCATCTGAAGCTGAAACCGGTGCCAACTGTTCAGAGTACCACGTCAAAGTTAAGTACCTAACTATGGAGTGTCTGATAGTAGGAGATAGTTGGACGATCAAGTCAGCATGTGTGTTTGTGACAATGATGCACCCTACATGGTGGTACAACTGAACACTTTCTAGACAATGTGCACAATCTTCATGCAACCTTTGGCAAAGCTTCCAGGTATAATCCTGAATGTGCACAGTGCACGGACGGGACTAGCTCAAGTGTCCATCAGTATCAAGGGTCGTGGTTCATGGATCTCTAATTTTAGTCGTATAAACCAACCACAGAACCACTTCGGGAAAATAGGCAGTGTCACATCCGAAAACATGGGTAAAAACAGTTTTCTGATGGATTTCAAGAACACAAAGGCATGAAATTAAGGAGGAAACAAGAGAAGGGCCAATGGAATTACGCAACCGCCAAAAGTAGGTCCAAAAAGGCTGACACTAATAATCGACTGTGGCCTCATTGTGGCAGGACTGAAACTTGGGGATTCGCTTAGGAGGGAAATGGACAGTGCCACAGTGCAGACATGCGACAGTGATCTACTGATACCGGGATGACACGTGTTCGGGGAAGTACAAATATATAGTCATCATCTTTCGAAACCTGGACGAAACAGGACGGATGACGATCCGGGAACAAAACGTAGTGGACTGCCTTAGCATTCCTCAAAGGGCGAATGATGCAGAAGACACATGAGAAGCACAAATCAATTCAATTTATCAGCTATAAACTATGTACCATAGACACATTGGCTCCAGCTGCTAGTTTCGATCACCGGAAAACGGGAGTGTAGGACGTACAACCAAGCCCTGCAGGTGAACGCATGTTCAGTTTGTTCGGAAATTGGGAAGCTACGTATTGAAGGCGATAGCTTTGATGCACCGGCGCCACTGAATGCGCGATTGGGCCATTTCTGACAATGTCACCAATCACTGCTGATTTGAGACCCAATACAGGGAGGCGGCAGTTGCACACCTGACTAAGTTTACTGGTTAGTGTTTTCATACTTCGTTGCCAGGTCACCTCTCGGTTTCTTTCACTCATCACAGGGCTGAAAAAAGAGCTCTGTGAGGCAGACGGTCTTCAGGAACGTGGAGTACATGTCCTAACTACGACAGCCTATGAAGCGAGAGTAATTCAACTATCGCCGGAGGATTTCTTTCTTCCTAAGACCATCTGGTATATTTCAGCATTTCTAATCCGATGTTCCCACCAGACCTGACCAATGCTTCTGAGACACCGACGGTCAAAGAGTGACATTTTTCGTATGTCCTCTGTGCGTAGGAGTCACGTATCTGATCGATAAAGGAGAATAGGTCATACCACCGCAGTGTAAACTCTTCCCTTGACAAACTTACGCCACGTCGGTGCCATAAGTGTCGAATGGTGGCAAAAGCTGCACTGGCCTTTCCTATTCGAGAAATAATCTCATTCCCAGTCAGTTCACCGGAACTTATACAGCTGCCCAGGCAAACAAATTTATCAACCACGTCGATTGGTTCGCCTGCAAGCATGAGGATGGGTTTGATCCTACGCAGCCTTATAGGAGCAACTGACACTTTGCAGATGTGAAGCGCATGCCAAACCATCAACCTGCGCAAAATAATACCAGAGAGCATCTTAGATGCGACGGATACCAGGCTGATAACACGATGGTTTTCACATGACGTTCTTTCTCTCTTTTTGAGAACTTGGATGGAGTTCCTTTCGGCTAGTATCCTGTTTCGTTCCAAATCTTCACCAGTATGGTTGTCAGACTGTTCATCAGGACCTCGCCATCTTTTTGAAGAGCGCGGGGTGTAGACCGTGAGAAGCACATCGATTACTCACGCTGAGTTGTTTGTTTGATGTGAACACTGACAACAAAAACGCAGGAGTGAAGTGGTTTGTGGACTAGTTTTCCTAATGCCTTCTTAATTTCTATTGGCAATTTGTTGTAGTCCATAAAAGCGGCGAATCACCTTAGACTCCTACAGTCTGGGCGGCGGTACCTACTCACACAGCAGCGTAAGCCGTCTTCCATCAAGGAAAACTCTCCTCCCAGCTACAGCCATCCAAAGATCGGCTAAAAGCACGAAGGTGTACGAGCAAATCAGACATGGATTGATTGGCGCTTCACTTTAATAGGAGTTGCCACCTGTTCTGGTTGGACCAAGATATGCGCAAACCTTACCAACAATAACCATACACGGAGAACTACAGTTCTCCTGTCTAGGTGTGGGCACCATGGCAGTATCCCAGCCCACGTACAACCATGAATTGCACATACACAAATAAACTCATGCCACATCGGCCGTCGCGTGGTGCCATCAGCCGGGTCGCCTTACTTGCTGCATACGGCAGGGCGGGTAAGCGAAAACAGGCTACTGCTGATGCCTCCCTTCTTTCTCCTTCACATACTTTTCTTCCCCCTCTCCCCAACCCATTAATAACTCTCTCCTTGTAGGCCCAGCACTTAGGACTGATAACTCCATTCGTCATGCATTTCTCTACTCAAGCGCCATCGCGCTGCTGGTCCTGATGACCTTCCACCTGCTCTCTTCAAGGATGGCGGTGGATTCCTCAGTCAGTGCCTGTCTAGCCTATTTGGGTTTATCTGGGAGAAGGAGACTGTC